TATATATATACTTTTTACTTAAAATCAAAAACTTTAAAAGTTTTCTTTATCTATTTAAATTTCACGTCCTGCCAAACTACCGTGCAGAAGTGAGAAGATGAAGGGAGGGAATATTAAGAGTCCGTTTGGCCATGAAATTTTTTCACTTTTTTGATTTTTTTTTATTCAAAATCAGTGTTTAGCCATACAATTTTTAATTTTCATTTCAAGATGAATTTTGAAATTTTTCGAAAATTTTAAAAACTTCAAAAGGCAGTTTTCAAAAATTTCACTCAGATCACTCACAAAAATTCAAAACTAACCCAAAATTATACTCATGTCCAAACACAATTCTAATTTTTAAATATCATTTTCACCTGGAATTTTTTCACTTTTTTCTGGAATTTTACAATTCTTATGTCCAAACACCCACTAACTCAAATGGTAGGAGATCTCTAAATATAATCATCAAAAGTTTTGCAGGTCATTTTGGTCTATTCAAATTAAATTAAAAAAGCGAGCATAGAAATCATTTGAGTAAAATCCTCATTACCTCCTTAACTTTAAGGGATTGGGAAACAATACTCCCCGCCCGTTTTGAATGGGAAAGGGAATCACCTTGTGCAATAGTTTTTCGGTGAAATAAATTTTTTAATAAAAATCTTTTCTTTTTTGAATAGATAATTTTTAGAATGTAATTTATTATAGCCGAAAGCTCAAGATATGAAAAATAATTAGAACCTATATAATTTATGGAGTTCCCCTTTAGCCTTCTTCTTGCATAGTTTAAGTATGATGTAATGCAAAAATGCCTCCATAATGAATTTTTAAATATGACATTATTAATTATAATTTCTGTTCAATAAAGATATTTTTAAAATAAGTAAAGTTTAATAATTGCTTTAGTATAATAATTTTAAAATACAAAAAAAATATATAAATAAATTAATACTAATAGCAGCAATTCTTTCATCTAATATATATGTCAGAGAATTGATTATTTCAATGTATTTTTTCCCTTCAAATTGAAATGCTAAAGCATCCATGGTGAATGTGCGTTCATCATATTTCTTGAATTTAGTATGCAAGATCTTTTTCTTTATTTGTAAAAAGTTTAACCACGACCTCAATATAATAGAAAAATATATTAAATTTTACAAGCAAGAAAGACGAAATTCAAGTATTAATTTGGATGCAAAATATTATAATTCACCTTTGAAAGAATAGAGAAAGAAAAGAAAATCTTTATTTAAGAAAAAAACTCTCACCAAAAGAATATTGCATAAGGGAGTTCCCTCTCCCATTCAAAATGTAAGGGGTATTGTTTCCCAACCCTTAAAGGTAAAGGGTTAAAGTGGATTTTACTCCAATCATTTCCACCTTTATGAATTTATTGACCTCGTGAATCATGATTGTCACAACTCGCACTTTGGAGTTGTGATATCGGCTAAGAACTGGTGAGAAAAGGTCCTTCTGATGGTCTGACGTAGAAATGTCTACTCGGGTAGCTTGGGCTTTTTAATTTTAAGCATATATAATAGGGGGGGAAGGGGGGTATAGGTGATGAAAGCTCTGACCTGCCTCCGCCATGCGTGCTGCCACCGAGCCGTATAGAACGAGTTACCTTGGGAAAAACCTCAAGGGCCTGCCTAGATGACTCAAAAGGAGTGTCAAAGGTACCCATACGAGTTATGAAAACTCTATAGGCGGCGCAACGCCTTCGGGCTAGCGTTGGGCATCAAGTAGGCGCTGGAGGCTCGAAGTGTGGGACGGCCAGCCCCGCGGGCTGTCGAATGTTGGAAGGAGACCTCCGTACCGATTGGATACTTGACGCACTTGTCATAAGGGGCATCATGTGTCGACTTGTGAGCATGGTTTGGGTTCAACCATGCAAGCAAGGGTCCGTTGGCCTAAAGATGCAGGTGTGGACGACACTGCACTACTTCGGAATAGAAGCGTGCTGCAAGAGGGCTATGTATGGGCATGGCACGAAAGACGCACATGACAATGGCCAAGGGCTAAAGATTGCCTTACTCGGGCGAGGCACGAGCTAGTTGCGGATGCACTAGGCGAGTGTCAAGCTTGAGGATTGGGCTGTGCACGCAGGAGCGATGCTCAGTCTTGGGCTAAGGACAAGGCATGTCCTAGTCCAATCTCCCCAGGGCGCGCATGGATTGAGATCCTAAGATGGAGTGCCACGACATGTCTAGGGCCAAGGGCCTAGGCATCTTACAGGCGGCACGAGTTGGGGCGAGCCTACAGGCGAGTCCCACCAACAGGCACAAGATCGTGCTTGGAATCCTAGGAAAGGAAACAAGGCTGGCCTGAAGCTAGGGGAGTTGCAGGCGCCGCACGGGCGAGCAGGTGCCACTACCCAATGTAAGGATTTGGGCCCGTGACACTTGGTATCAGAGCTGATTAAGGCCATATTATGCCATGGCACAACGTCAAGGCAAAGGGTGGATATGGCGAGTGCATTTTGGATGTTAGTGCAGAGATCACGTCAAAGCAGAGATTGATGTTCATATGCTACCAAAGATCGAGAACCCGATACTGATGGTCGAAGAAAGAAATGGGTGATTCCATTGTCTTTCAAGAGTCTAAGGTGCTACTGAATGAGGTGATATGCCGATGAGTCGGATGGCCAAGAGAAAGCCATGTTTGCCAGGTCGTGCAACCATATTGCGAAGAGTAGGAGCCATGGACTATAAACTTGGGCATGATCATAGAGGAGATCTTGCCAAGGATGCGTGCGACGCATCAAGTTGAGTGTCTTTCCTACGGGAGAAGACTTTTGGGTTGCCTGAGGGCATTGCCAAGGTGAGGAAACGAATTCGAGGGTATAGCGAAGCTTCGGAATTGGGCGAGTTTCCAAGTTAGAAAGTGTCATCATTCTGGAAAGAGGTATGTCGAATGATCGGGGACCGTGAGTGTCCAGGTGCGAGGCATACCGAACCGGGAAGCCGTGCTAGCAGAGCCAAGAGGGTGCCTGTCTATAGGGCGAGTATTGAACTACTACCGGGAGTATTGGCTACTTGCTGAGGAAGTGACAACTGGAAAACAAAGAGCTTTGTTCAGAAATGCGGCGATGCTATGACTTTGGGAATGTAGTACACATCAAAGCTCATCCCAAGTGCTGGCCGAATGCCAAGTGGGACGACAGTGCTAAGATGTATCCTCCACATTGAGTGTGGGAGGATCCCGCCTATGCAAGAGGCATATGGGCGAGGTCGTGGGTCTGGAAGCGAACACATCTTCAAGGTAGTGAAGGCAATTGAAAGCTACGGGAGCGGAATGCTACGTGAGCTATGCCACAATGGCGTCTTAATGCTACGTGAGCAAAAGGCTACGGGAGCCATGCCAAAGAGGGTATCTTAAGGCTACGGGAGCGAAAGGCTACGGGAGCAACGTCAAAAGAGCACATTGATGTGCTAACCTGTGAAGGAAAGTTTTAGACGGACATGAAGACCGGAGGGTCATGGTGTGATTGACTAGTGTGGGTCAATCACAAAGTTAGACACCAGAGGGTGCAAGTGCGGAGGCACTTTCCAAGTGAACACCGAATGGAGGTGAAGTGCAGAGGCACGCTTGGAAGATACTTGGGGGAGAAGTGCATAGGGCACGACTCCTTTTGAGAAAGGACTTCGAGGAAGTCCAACCCACAGGACAAAGGGAGCTTGAATGGGCATACCTGAGGAGGCAGACTCCGGGATGTCTTAAGCCATAATGTGTCATCGGGGACGATGACATTATGAGTGTGGGAGGATGTCACAACTCGCACTTTGAAGTTGTGATTTCGGCTAAGAACTAGTGAGAAAAGGTCCTTCTGATGGTCTGACGTAGAACTGTCTACTCGGGCAACTTGGGCTTTTTAATTTTAAGCATATATAAGGGGGGTATAGGTAATGAAAGCTCCGACCTGCCTCCCCCATGCGTGCTGCCACCGAGTCGTATAGAACGAGCTACCTTGGGGGCAACCTCAAGGGCCTGTCTAGATGATTCAAAAGGAGTGTCAAAGGTACCCATACGAGTTAGGGGAACTCTATGGGCGGCGTAATGCCTTCGGGATAGCGTTGGGCATCAAGTAGGCGTTGGAGGCTCGAAGTGTGGGACGGCCAGCCCTGCGGGCTGCCGAATGTTGGAAGGAGACCTCCATGCCGATTGGATACTTGATGCACCTGTCATAGGGGCATCATATGTCGACTTGTGAGCATGGCTTGGGTTCAACCATGCAAGCAAGGGTCCGTTGGCCTAAAGGTGCAGGTGTGGGCGACACTGCACTACTTCAGAATGGAAGCATGCTGCAAGAGGGCTATGTATGGGCATGGCACGAAAGACGCGCATGACAATGGCCAAGGGCTAAAGGTTGCCTTACTCGGGCGAGGCACGAGCTAGTCGCGGATGCACTAGGCGAGTGTCAAGCTTGAGGATTGGGCTGTGCACGCGGGAGCGATGCTCAGTTTTGGGCTAAGGACAAGGCATGTCCTAGTCCAATCTCCCCAAGGCGCGCATGGATTGAGATCCTAAGATGGAGTGCCATGACATGTCTAGGGCCAAGGGTCTAGGCATCTTACGAGCGGCATGAGTTGGGACGAGCCTACGGGCGAGTCCCACCAACAGGCATAGGATCGTGCTTGGAATCCTGGGAAAGGAAACAAGGCTGGCCTGCAGCTAGGGGAGTTGCAGGCGCCGCACGGGCGAGTATGTGCCGCTTCCCAATATAAGGATTTGGGCCGGTGACAATGATCCTAATACTATCGCCTATCCCTCACAAAAGAAAAAGGAAAAAAGAATAACAAATAAAAAAAGAAAAAGGAAAAGGAAAAATGTGGTCCAAATAAAAGGTCAATATGAATCGGAACTCTTGCGTACAAAATCCAATTCCAAGTGAAAGGCCTTAACTTTCGCAGCAACCGATTCTCAACTCCGATTCCACAGAGGTAAATCTCCTTTTCTTCTTACACCCAACTCCCCCTTCTTTTCTCTATATTCTCTCTTTATGTTTATGCTAATCAGCATTAGCGATTGCGATCTCATATTTTAACACTTCAATTTTCTGCTGATTTCTGCTTCAATGTATTAGATCTGGATCCCATTGTTGTTTGACTTGTTTTGACCGCTGTTCATCTGAATTCTACTCCCATTTTTTTGTTTTGGTCAACTTGATTGTTAATTCTACTCTACCTGTTTGACTGAGAATTACATAATGACGAATCTGTAATTTTACTCTCGACGGGTGGCGCTTGAGGGCATGCTTCATGGTTATACGTTTCTGATCCAGATTTTTAGTTTTGTTCTTTTTTGTTTGGTAGTCTATTTTGTAAGATGCCTAAATTTTTCTAATCCTGATCTGACGATTGAATTAAATAGTATTAGTAAATTTTCTACTTGCCTTACCTAGCTTTTACACTTTACAATTTGGTGTCTCTGATGGCAGGGATCCAGCTTTTGTTTCTTTAATACATAGGTATAGGGTTTAGTTGAAAAAGAACTTTTCAGCATTATGAGCGTCCAGCTATATGGTTCCAAGTTTTGATTTGACTAGAAAAAAAAATAAAAACAAGAACAACATAGGTGACTCTTGGAATCCTGTTATCAATCAGGTGACGGGTTACAAGCCCGATGAGGATATAGTAGAAAGTATACAAGCCCCATGTTGTGCCATGCCCCGTGTTGGCATGACACAACACGGATGCAGGATTTGGGTGTTTCTTTTTGATCTGGCTTACTGAGATTGGCTAGAGTGGTTTTGACCAAAAGTAGATGAAGAGAAAGGATGAAAAGAAAGGGAAGAAACAGTGGGGAATTGTCTCGCTTCTGACATTAGAAAATAGTTCCTTGAGTTGAAAAGATTGTGTTTTGAGAAGAGAGTGTCAATAGCTTTCCCTGCTTATTTACTATTTAGCCCATAATCTTCTTACTTCATTAGCTCCAAGTTAATTGCAAGCCATGTGTTTTCTTGATTTGTTAGGTTTTGAACTAGTTAATATTGGACCATGAAAACAGATTAACGTCTTCTCCTGTACACATAAACGTGCTTAAACACATATGTAATTCTACTCTTGGAATCTGATAATGCTGTAAATTAACTGCTTTTGATTTTTCTTTTCGACTCACAATGTTCTTAAGCTTAATATGTATTACTACAAAACATAAAATTAACTGAATACCATTGCTTATAATTTTGTCTTGATAAAGTCGATTTTAATGGTGCAATTGAGGCTATATGACTTTTCTTTCTTGTTATAGTTTCATGCATGGTAATTCATGGGTTTATCTAACAAAATGTACATTTCATTCTTTATTGCAGTTGTCTTAGTGTTATAGACGAGTATGGCATCTAGCAGTGGCCAGAATGGAATTCAACTCCTTTTAGCTGCCGAACAGGAAGCCCAACACATTGTCAATAATGCCAGGACTGGTAATTGCTTTTACCTTCTTTACAAATCCAGTTTTCTTACCTTTTGATCTGGATCTCTGTCGGTTAACTACTCTGTCACATTGCTATTGGGAGAACTTAATAATGGCCAACATGCATGAGCTATTTGCAAGTCTTGTCTCTGTTGCTGCAAATTCTTGTCACTATGATACTTCCTGGGCACTTTTGTCCTGTAGTGGGCTGCGTGCTTATTGCCTTGGGATGCTTTCATAGTTTTTTAATGTAAGAGTTAGCATATGCTAGTTGTGTTTACAGTGGTGGGTAATTGTTGAGTTGTAGTATGGTTATTTTCTGGTTGTCATCAGTTCAAGGATAAGGATGAACTTCTCTAGTGCTCATCCATGTTGTGATGCGCACTGGCTGAGTATAAGATTCAATATTTTGCATGTATTTGAAATATTTCCTTATGCCAATGGATACTTTCCGGTAACATTCCTAAGCAATGCCCTCTTTCTCAAACTAGACATTTTAGTTCTAACTGCTGATTAGCCACAACCATTCAATATGCATTTGTTACGAGCGTAAGAGGATTTCTTCATCATTAGGACATTTCTGGGGGTGGGCGAACTTGCAAAAGCATTTTTCTTTATGCTGGATTCCTACCAGAAGGACAGGCATAATGATATGGGGGATTTTAAGTTATTGAACAATAGGTTAGTTAATGGATGTCATGCTCCAGTGGTCAAAATCGTTGCATCCAAAAGCTTATATTCGATATCTTTTTCTTTACTGATCAAACAAAAATGAAACATCATGTTTTGATATCATTTATTCCTCGTCTAAATTGTATAAGCTGTGTCGCTAGTCTTTTAAACCTTACTATTTGGAGCGTTGTGGATGCTTGGGATCAGGTTTATAGAAGTGCTAACTTGAGTTTCATGTGCAGCTAAACAGGCTAGATTGAAGCAGGCCAAGGAAGAAGCTGAGAAGGAGATAGCTGAATTTCGTGCTTACATGGAGGCTGAGTTTCAGAGAAAGCTTGAACAGGTAACTAAGGAACAAATAGTTCTGGAAGAAGATCCCATTGGCATAGTAATGGTATCAACTAGTATGTTCGTGGAAAATCATGACTTCGACCAGATCTTGTCCTCCTTTTAAATGCTTTTCATTTTACTTGCTGCATTTACGCACTTGGGGTTTGTTTGGTATGAATCAATTTTCCCATGTTTGGTTGGCCTAAATGTTATGGAAAAATATTTTCCTAGTGAACTCATTTTCCTCCAATTGGGGGTAAATGACTTCCCTACAAAGGGGAGGGAAAACATTTTCCAAAATTTTGTTTCAACCTTCCCCACCCCTACTGCCACCCTGCAATCCACACTCTCGCCACCTCAGGTCCCCAGATCCCGACCTACCATTTTGCACCTTGACCTCACCCCACGCTGACACCCTTACCTACCCTCCAACCCTGCGCCCCGACCCACCTCCCCCTCGGACATTGCAACTCGAAACACGGAGTTCGGGGCCTGGGTGTCACCTGGGGTCAGGGGCGGGGTGTCAAGGTTGTGGTTGAGGTTGAGTGTGGGGTCAGGGTACAGTGTCGGGGTTCGATGTCGAGATTCGGGTTGGGGTCAGGTTCATTGTCGGGGTCCGGGGTCGTAGACCATGGTCCGGTGTCAGGATCGGAGTTTGGGGTTCGGGTACAGGATTAATGTTTGCTTAAATTATATTAAAATGCTCTGGGGACAATAGTTTCTTCCTACTAACCAAACTCCAGAAAATAAGTAAGAAAATCACTTGTTTTCGAGTAAAATATTTTCTAGGAGAACATTTTCTGTGGTAAAAATATCACACCCTTGATCATAGCCAAAAGGCCGAGAAAGGTATTACGATGCTGCCTGCAGTTTTAAGCAATCCCATCTGTATGTTTTCATGTCTTGGATCGTTAAATATGGTAAATTTTCTGCTCTAGTATGTTTCCAAGTGGTGATGACAAAAGTCATTCCAAATTTAACCCTCAATAGCTGATAGTAACAATAGGCTCATTAAGAATTGCATCTATTTTTCAACTTCTCTTTCCTTCTCCTTTTTTCCTTTTTTATTGGGGTGTTGTTGTGGGGGTGGGGGAGAAAGGGGATGTTTTGGGCAATGATTCTGACTTC